TGTGTGTGTGTATGTGTATGCGCGCGGTGTTGTGTATATCTGAACTGTCTCACTTTCTCTCTCCCCACCCCACACTAGAGAAGACCATCATTTGACATGTGTATGTAAAGTTATACGTATGTATGTATGTATATGTGTGTGTACAGATAGATAGATGTAGATATATGTGTAAACCCATACTGTGCATAGTTCCGTTCATCGGTTCTTTCTCTGGAGGTGCAGGTCTTCTGAGGAAAATGATTATTAACTTCACGGGTCCTTGGTAGTTGGTCTGAGTGTTTATAATACTCAGAGTAGCTTAGCCGCTCCCAGTTGTTCTTGGAGCATCATTGCCGTTTCTGTGCACGACGTCTTCTGGGTTCTGCTCATTTCGCTCTTCGTTATTCCATGCGGGTCTTTCCGTGCTCTTCTAAGGTCGCTGAGCTCACCGTTTCTTCCAGCACAGCAGTATTCCGTCACCATCACAGCCCACGACTTCCTCAGCCCTTCCCCACTCGACAGGCGTCCGCTCGATTTCTAGTTCTTTGCCACCACAGAGAGCTGCTGCGGACGTTTTAGAACATAGGGGTTCTTTGCCTTCTTCCCTGATCCCTTGGGGAGACAGACTCGGTAGTGGCGTTGCCGGGGTCTGAGACTGTCCCCAGCCGGTCGTGTCTGCATCTGCTTTGTCCAGACTTGTTTCATGTTGTCCCCCCTTTGGACTCTGGAAAACAGAGACCGTCTTTTTCCTTTCCTTGTCTCCTCATTGTTTCACACAGGGCCTGGCACATAGAAAACCATTCCTTATAACAGTGACTCCTTTGTTAAGAAGAAAAGGAGGGGGAAATTTTTCCCAAAAAATCAATTAACTCGTTGAAAAAAGTGGATATTACATGCAATATTCCATGCCCATGAACCTTCCACTTCTGCACAGGAGGTGGAGGGCTGGGAAGAGACATCTCGTCTGTCTTTGTTGGGGCCAACCTTGTTCTTTAAGAAACTAATGGGGACAGCTGGGTGGCACAGTAGATAGAGCTCTGGCCTTGGAGTCAGGAGGACCTGAGTTCAAATCCAGCCTCAGACCAAACACTTGACACTTACTAGCTGTGTGACCCTGGGCAAGTCACTTAACCCCAATTGCCTTAAAAAAACAAAAGAGTAGACAGGGAAGAATCAGCAATAATTGAATCAGTAAAGCAGTGCTTGGTAAAACTCTCAACATAAATTACCTGAAGTAATCTCCCAAGTTCTGGGAATATCAGAGAGTAATCTGCTAGGAATGAACCCACATCTAGTACCATGAATTTAGACTTGGGTAACGACCTGTGTCTTAAAGATTTTGCCACCAAAAGTCAGAAGAGAAGCTGATGCCGAACTTGCCACAGGTGTGCCTAGAGGGCTAATTCTTAAAGGAGAGAAGCAATTTTGAAGGACAAATTGCTTTGATTACATGGAACTGGAGAGCTTTTCACAATCACAATTGACAGGTCTAGGCTAAGGGCAGCAGTCAGTGGGGGTGGAGCTCTTTTAAAGCGCGGTTCCTGTTTGGTGAATTGAATTGTGTTGGCCGATGTGGAAGGCCGGTTAGCCTTGTTGTGCTCGGCCACAGATTCCAAACTGGACGTGGGAGGAAGTGGCAGGGAGGCAACAGAAGCTGACCAGAAGGGCTGGGATGACCAGCAGGAAGGGACGGTCTTTATGGACGTCTTTAGGGTCAGGCATGAATTGGACCAAATCCTGGGGTTCCCAGAGAGCATTGGAGAGAGTCAGCCATGGAGCCTTTAGAGCCTGGGCCTGGACGTTCAGACTCCAGGCCTGCTCTCACTGTGCTCCTTCCATAGCCTCTGTGTCCTTGCCAGTACTTTTAATCAAGGTTGGCCTGGAGGCCCTTCTAGGATCTAGGCAGCATGGTTTAATGAAGAGAGCGCCAGACTTGGGATCAAAATCTAGGCTTCAAATCCTGACGCTGACACTTACCAGATAAGGCCAAATCATGCTCCCGTGGGCCTCATTTCTGTCCTTTCTAAAATAGAGGGTCCCAGGAAGTGCGTAAGCTGCCTCAGAGAGGTTTTTGGAGGATAGTGTCTTGTAACCCTTAAAGCACATCGAGGCTGGGAGCTCTTCTCAGGGGTTGGCATTGTGTGGTTGAGGTTGCCAGAGGCAGGTGGATGGCTCTTGGTGAGCGGTGGGAACTTCAGCTTGGTTGGGGTTTGGCCTGGTCCAGTGTTCTGGGAGTGTGCATTGAGACAGCTGGCAAATAGGAAGAAAGCTTGAGAGTAGGAACCGAGGTTATGGGAATACTCCCTCTAGTTTTCATAAACAAAAGTATTTGACCATTAAAAAAATATTTTTTAGGTTGTTACGGCCAAAAAATGTTACCAGTTTGTGGCCAGTTTTAGGGAGCGGACGGGCACGAGTCTCAGCAGATGTTCTGATCGTCCCAGACTCACCCACGTGTTGGGGTTACAGACAGGCGGGGGCTTGGCCCCCTCAGGGAAACAGCAAGTGGCACAACTTTTGTTCTTTTGCAGATTTCTCTTTACTATTGTAAACAGTAACCTTTGACAAAAACAATCCAACACATCTCCTGACATTTAACAAAGCAGTGAAGGAATCCTTATGTATCTGTGTTTTTGTCCTTGTTGCCTGTGGACTAGTGCAGAGACGACCAGGTTCAATACAAGACCGTAGGAGGGCCAGAAAGTGAGTCGGAAGGGGAAGTGGTGGGAAAACGCCAGCTTTGGAGTCTGAGGAGATCCTCGCTATACCCCAAAGGGTCGTACATTCCTAGGATTCTGCGGTGCGAGGAGCCTGGGTCATCTAGTCTGCCTCTTTCATTGTCCAGAGGAGGAAAGTGAGGCCCAGAAGGATGCGCCCAAGGTCACCCGAGGGTCCGGGACTTTTTCCTGGGTGCCAGAGTGCTGCTTGCTGGGTTTGTGACCCCCTAGTGGGCTTCACTCAGTTCCCTCCTCTGTGGATTGGGGAATTCGTGCAGGATGATCCCTGCGGCCCCCATCATGGGCTGCACTAACTAGGCCCTAACAGCTAACATGGTTACCTGGACTGGCTTCTTTCCCTGCTTCTCGCCCTCTCCTTTATAGTCCTCAGATTACTTAGCACTGCCTTTCTTCAGCAGGGCATTCATAGCATCATTCTTTCCTCCTCACATTGGTTGGCTGAGATAGTGATGGCCTTTCAGAAGACGGAAGAGGGGCTTTACATGGAGTTGCTGAGTGACCTTGACTTTGCCAGTGCGGGATTCCACATACTTGATTCATTTATCGTAAGAGTTTGGAACATGCCCTAAAAAGCCTCCTGTCATACTGTTCCAACTCCTAGTAATTGCTGGGAAAGTCCTTTAGGGGGAGGATGAGGGCCTCTCTCTTCGTTGGCCTCCTCCTTCCCCAATCACCTAAGGCTGCATCCTCTGCATCCTCAGTTCTTGGATAGGCCTGTCTCGAGGAGGTCAGGTGGAGATGCTGGGACTTGCTGAGGGCTAAGGATTGGTGTATATGGCAGATTGGCTAGGGTCGGAACCCTGCAAGGAGAGGCTGTGTTGGGAAGGAGATACCCAGGCTGGAGAGGGACTGGTGGCGGCCCACGCGTGGGAAGGAGAAGCCTGGGAAATCGGGGGCTTGAGAGACGGCTTCACCTGTCATGTAGGAGAGGACGACCTCGCTGGCTGGGAATGTTGCAGAGAGGATTTGGGTGAGGGTCTAGGTTGGAATAGGTGACGTCTGAGGTGAGGCCCCGGGCCGCTCAGATTCCCTGGTTTTTGTGACCTGGCGGGGAGGTACAGCTGGGAGAAGAGAAGATGGGGTAAGGAGCTGTCTGTAACAGACATACGTGGGAGTTGTGTTCAGGCTGAGGTGAGGCTGAGGAGGGCTCCTCTCTGCTCTCCTCGGCCCCAGACGGTAGCAGTTGGGGAGGCAGATAGAGGCCCTCTCGGTGTAGGCAGTTCCCTGGCCAGGGGCCCTTTTCAGGGAGGTCATTGAGCAAACCTTTATTAAGCTCTGACTGCGTGCAGAGCTGGACGCTGTGCTGGACACTGGAAGGGGAAAGAGAATGAAAAGAATTTGAAGTCAGGAAGACCTGAGTTCATTTCCTGACACCTAGGGGTGTGACCCTGGATAAGTACCTCACCTTTCTTAGCCTCTGTTTCCTCATCTGTAAATGAGGATGATAATAACACCCACCCCACAGGGTTGTTGTGAGATTCCAATGAGGTGATCTCTATGAAGCATTTGGCAAACCCGCATGTGTTGGCTTTTCTCTTTGTGAGTAGGAGGAAAAGAGCTGGGTACCCTGTGACACGATGTCACAGGTTAAGTGCGTTCGAGAAGCTGTGAGATCCCAGGGATGGCTGGAGGATGTGGGGAGAAGCCGGGCAGGCTTTCTTGGGCGGGGCGGGGGGGGTGGTTGGAATGCGCTTTAGAGACAAGAGAAAAAGGGAAGACAGGAGAACGCACGCACGCCAGCCTGGGGGCCAAGCCCCTCGGGAGGCAGTGAGTGACTGCTGACAATTTTGATCAATGGAATGCCATGAGCTGGCCGAAGAAGATTATTCTCTCGGTGGTGAATTAGTGAGGGAATGGAGTCGCCGGGAGGAGGCCGTTGAGATCCCTGGGTGCCAGTGGCAGCAGAGACGGGCTGTCTGGGAACGCGAGACTGGAGGTCAGTCCTGCTCAGGCCAGACAGTAAAGGCCTCCTGATGCCAGGAAGCAGAAGAAGCTAGGTTCGTGTCTTCTCTCCATTGCTTCCTTCCCACTTCCCCTCCCGTCCCCAGGCCTCAGTGTCCTTCTCTGTAAAAAGGAGAGTTGGGCCGACTGGCCTCGGAGGGCCTGTCCGGTTCTGGAGCTGGGACCTTATGACTGTAAGGAAATGGAAGACTGACCCTGGGGGGCAGGGTGTGGGGGTGTGGGGGTGTGTATGTCTAAGAGAGAGACAGTGTGTTCCATGGGCTGCCTCAGCAGCCATGACTGGCCGGCAGGGAATGTGACGCCATCTCTTTTTCGTTTCAGGTCAACCAGGGCAGCATGACCATGATGTCTTCACCATCCCCTGTCCAGCAAGCCCAGACCCCCCAAGCGATGCCGCCTCCCCCACAGCCATCTCCCCAGCCTGGCCAGCCCTCCTCGCAGCCCAACTCAAACGTCAGGTAAGTTTGCTCCTCGCCCGGGGTACGGTGCTTTCATCCGTTGTGATCACAGCAGTTACTCCGTGACTTCAGCTCCCCCCTGTTCTCCCCGTCCTTTCTCCCACGTCCTCCTGACCTGTCAGCATTGACTGCCCTCTTCGGGTCCCCCAGCTGGCCTTCAGTGGGGGCCTCAGCCCCGGACACCTGGCTTCTTTGGCCTTCCCTGAGCTCCCCTCAGTTGGAGGTGTCTTGTTCCCTTGTCCTCGTGCAGCTCTGGTCCTGCTCCGTCTCCTAGCAGTTTCCTGCCCAGCCCCTCTCCACAGCCTTCTCAGAGTCCAGCTTCTGCCCGCACTCCACAGACCTTCAGTGTTCCGTCCCCCGGGCCGCTCAACACCCCCGGTGAGTCCCCGCGGTGTGGGAGGCAGTGGCTGGCTGGCTTCCTGGGAATTGGAGAAGACCAACCCGGGTCCATCTCCATTCCGTGGTCTGGATGGGGCGGATAGTGCCGGACTGTCTGCTTGGTGGGGACTTGGCCGTAACTGGAATGTGTTGGATCCTCTGTTTGAGCAGAAGGGTGTCACGGAGTGCTAGGCCTGGGTGAGCCCCTGCACTCCCGTGGGCGAGCCGCTGCGGGCAGGGCCCTGAGCTCCATTCCAGCCAGGGAGCAGGAGCCCAGAGGTGGCCAGGAGGCCCTCACTGGCTGTGCTGGCTGTGGAGCCCTGGGCACGTCTGTCCTCCCTTCCTGCCCCCCACCCCCCACCCCAGGCCTTGGGGCGCCTAGATCCTGTCCAAGAGCCTGTCTCCATGAGTGGATCTCTAAAGCTCTCTCAGCTCCATAACTGAGCCTTTCCGTTCCCACCCGCATCATCCTGCCTTCACAAAGACCATCTGCTGAGCCCAGGACTAATTTGGCCAATATTTTTTTTCCCTCAGTGAGGCAATCGGGGTTAAGTGACTTGCCCAAGGTCACACAGCTAGTAAGTGTCAAGTGTTTGGTCTGAGGCCAGATCTGAACTCAGGTTCTCCTGACTTCAGGGCTGGTGCTCTATCCACTGCGCCACCTAGCTGCCCCTAATTTGGCCAACGTTAAGCCTCTGTTGTGTGCAGCGTACGGTCCTCAGTCCCAAATGGGATGCGACACTGACGACCGGCAGTCTGACGGGGAGAGGGCCAGGACGCCCTTGCAGATCACCTCCTCCCCAGAGCAGCGCTCGGGAGGAATGCTGAGGGCCAGGGGCCAGGGGCAACCACTGGAGAGGGAGCCTGTGGGAGGCTACAGGAGAAGCATCCCTTCTCCTTTGCCGTCCTCCATTGCAGTGAACCCCAGCTCGGTCCTGAGCCCAGCCAGCTCCAGCCAGGCTGAGGAGCAGCAGTACCTGGAAAAGCTGAAGCAGCTGTCCAAATACATTGAGCCCCTCCGGCGCATGATCAACAAGATCGACAAGAACGAAGGTGCCCAGGCCTGTGCCACCCAGGGGTGAAGGGGCGGGGGGCTCGGGAGCGTTACCCGGGGCGGAATCCCTGGGCACCCTCCGTCCACCTGCAGCCTCCTGCCTCTTGTCCAGCTTGGAGCTCCTGTGGACGGTTCTCATCGGCCTCTGCTCTTTTTCAGAACGGAAGAAGGATCTCAGTAAGATGAAGAGCCTGTTGGACATTCTTACAGACCCATCCAAGCGGTAAGCGGCGTCCCCGCTCCTCTCTCCGAGCAGAGGAGCCCCCCTCACCTTCCCTCTCCTGGGCCTCTATGAAGCTTTCTGTGACAGGCGTCCCAGGGTGCTGTAGCCGTCTATTCCTTCTTCTCTCCCAGACTGAGCGAACAACTTGGACTTTTTTTAAGTATTTAATTTTACTCTGTTTTCAACATAGATTAAGTCTAAGAGTCAGAGTGTTTGCAGTGTAAGCTACCATATATCAGGGGTTCTTAAGGGTTCTTAACCTTGTTGAGTGTCATGGACCCCTCTGGTCTGGTGAAGCCTGTGGACCCTTCTGAGAATGATGTTTTTCAGTGCATAAAATAAAATGCCAGGATTACAAAGGAAATGAATTTATTGAATTAGAATTATCAAAATATTTTTGAAAGCTAAGCCTCCAGCCTTCAGGTCCAGACACCCCCCCCCCCCCACCCCCCGCCTTGAAGTGAGCTCGCCCAGCCCCGGCTGAGTCATAACCCACCTCTAGCATTCCCCAGCCCAAGAGCACTCTTCGAGTGTTCCGAAATCAGATAAGGGATCTCCTCATCTGTCCTGGAAATCCCCTCCGTGAGGAAGCACCTCTTCCCGTGAAAAAGTTTCTCCTCATATCGAATTGAAATCTGCGTTCCTGCGTCTTCTCCCGGCTGCTTCTGGTTCTGTCTTGTGACGGATCTTCAGAACCTCCAAGATAGCTGGTGGAGCCTTCCTTCCTCAGTCGGCTCTTCTTCGGGCTCAGTGGCCCCCTGTGCAGTTCACTGATTCTTAGTTGGCACAGAACTGGCGGGCTTCCTCCCTGGATGCAGAGATCCAGTTGTGGGCCAACCAGGGTGGGAGGTGGCAGCAGTACCGTCCTCTGCCCCCCATTGCCGGCCCCATTCCCTCATCTGGACACGGTCAGCCCTGAGGCTGTGTGGGAGTGTAGGCAGGGGTATGGTTGCCTTCCTGCCTTGCTGCATGGGTACCAGCCAAGGTGAGGCCCCAACTGAAGCTCCTATTTCTAGCCCCCCTAACCCCTGACCTGGGGTCAGGCTGATGGCTGTCTTCTCTTGTCCCAGGTGTCCCCTGAAAACACTCCAAAAATGTGAGATTGCTCTGGAGAAGCTGAAGAACGACATGGCTGTGGTGAGTGTTGCGGGCAGGCCGGGCCCGAGTGACCTGATGTGGGTATGGGGAGCCCTGCGGTGGCACACGGGATCTTATTTGGGCCTCGCTGGGCCTGCTGGAGGTAGGGGCAGAAAGGAAAGCCTCGGCACCCTGTGCTCACAGCCCAGAACCAATGCATGGACACAAGCTGGTTTAACCTAGAGTTTATCTGATGCACAGAGCCTCGTGCACGTCAAGCCTAGGGAGGGCCCTAGAGTCAAGTCTCGGGCAGATGGCTGCTGCGTCTGGGCATCAGAAAACACGGTCCCACTTAGAAGGATGTTGTGTCCAGGACTGTACAGAGTCTCTCACCAGTGCAGAATGTCAGATCAAGCCTCTCCTGTTTTTAATGAGAGTTCTTTTTCCTTTCTCCATCCGCACCAAACCTGGAAAAAGAAAAGCAAAACCCTCGTAACTAAAAGCATAGTCAAACAAAACAGAATCCCATATTGGTCACGTCCAGAACTGCCTCGTTCTGCGTCTTGCGGCCATCTTGCCAGGAGCACGCTTCCTTTATCGTCAGCCCTCTGGAGCCACGGTTGAGCCGAGTTCTGAAATCTCCCAGACTTGTTTGTCTTTGCAGTGTTGTAGCTCTTGTATATAGTGTTCTCCCGACTGGGCTGCCCTCCCTCTGCGTCATTCATACCATCCTTCCCCATTTTCTCTGAGTCCCCCACCTTCAGCATTTCTTACAGCACAGTAATATTCCTTAACGTTCACAGACCATATTCCTCTTCTTCCTTTCTCTTCCCATAATTTTCTTGATAAAAAATTTGTTTAAGATTTTCAGTTCCAAATTCTCTCTCCCTCTACCCTGTCCCCGCCCAATTGAGAAGGCAAGAAATACAATACCCTTTATACATATGAAGTCATGCAAAACGTTTCTGAAACAGCCACCTTGCAAAAAAAAAAAGCAGGAAAAATAAAGAAAAAATATGCTTCAATCTGTACTCAAAGTCCATCAGCTCTCTCTGGACATGGATAGCATTTTTCAACATGAGTCTTTTCGAATTGCTGTGGAACATTGTATTGATCAAACTAGCTAAGTCTTCCACAGTTGATCCTCGTTAAAATATTGCTGTTACTGCATACGATGTTCTCTTGGTTCTGCTCACTTCACTCAGCATCAGTTCATGTAAGTCTTCCCAGGTTTTTCTGAAATTCACCTGCTCATCATTTCTTATAGCACAATAGTATTTCATCACAGTCATATACCACAATTTGTTCAGCCATTTCCCAATCACATGCCCTCAGTTTCTAAGCCTTTGACACCACAGAAAAAGAGCTGCTACAAATGTTTTTATACAAATAGGTCCTTTTCCTTTTTCTTTGATTTCTTTGAGATACAGCTCTACTGGTGGTATTGCTGGGTCAAAAGGAGATGCACAGTTTTATAGCCCTTTGGGCATAATTCCAAAATTAGTGTCCCAATTTTTCCACATCCCTTCCAGCATTTGTCCTTTTCTCTCATGTTAGCCAATCTGATAGGTGTGAGGTGGTTCCTCAGACTTGTTTTAATTTGCGTTTCTCTAATTATTAGTGATTTTGAGCATTTTTTCACATGACTCTTGACAGCTTTGATTTCTTTTTCTGAAAACTGCCTGTTCACATCCTTTGGCCATTTATCAATTGGGGAATGGCTCATATTTTTTTATAAATTGGCTCAGTTTCCTGCATATTTGAAAAATAAGGCCTTTATCAGAGAAATTTGTTAGGAATCCCCACCCCCACCCCTCCTAGTTTCTTGCTTTCCTTTTCATTTTGGCTGTTTTGGGGTTTTTTGGTTTGGTTTTGATTTTTTATTTGTACAAAAACTTGTGAATTTAATTTAATCTAATCTAAATTAGCCATTTTACCTCCCCATGATCCTCTCTATTTCTTGTTTGGTCATAAACTCTTCACTTGTCTGTAGAGCCAACAGGTACATTTTTCCATGCTCCGCTAATTTGCTTATGATATCACCCTTTATATCTAAATTGTTTACCCATTGTGACCTTATGTTGGTGTACAGTATGAGATGTTGCTCTGCACCTGATTCCTCCCAAATTGCTTTCCTCTTTTTCCAGCTTGTCAGATGGTGTGTTCTTTTCCCTAAAAGCATGAATCTTTGGGTTACTCAAACACTGTATTACTAGGGTCATTTACCTATACTTACTATATGCCTTAACTATTCCACTGATCCACCACTCTTACTTCTTAAACGGTACCAGATTGTTTTGATGACTGCCGTTTTGTAACATAGTTTGGAATCTGAAACTGCTAGGCCACCTTCCTTCGCGTTTTTTCCCACAGAATTCCCCTGATCTGTCTTTATTTGTATGAAATGTGTTTTGTAATTGTGTTCATGTAATTCCTGTGTTCATCTTGGCAGGTAGACTTCCAGGTATTTTACACTGTCTGCAGTTATGTTAAATGGAATCTCCCCTTCTGTCTCTTCTTACTGGGTTCTGTTGCTAATATATACAAATGCTAATTACTTAGTGTGGATTTATTTTGTATCCTGTAACTTTTCTAAAGTTGTTAATTGTTTCAGCTAATTTTTCAGTTGGTTGTCTAAGTATAGCATTGTATCGTCAGCAAAGAGGGGTGGTTTTGTTTCCTCGTTGCCTATTCTTCTTCCATCAGTTTCTTTTTCTTCTCTTATTACTAAAGCTAACATTTTTAGCACAATATTAAATGATAGTGGTGATAATGGGCACCTCTGCTTCACCCCTGATCTTATTGGGAAGTCTTGTAGCTTATCCCCATTACAGATGATGCTTGCCCATGATTTTAGAAAAGTTTTAATCTATTCCTATGCTTTCTACTGTTTCGGTAGCGATGGATGTTGTAATTTGTCAAAAGCCTTTTCTGTATCTATTGAGATAATCATATGATTTTTGTTGTTTTTGTTATTGATATGGTCAGTTATGCTGATGTTGCTGTTCAGTTGTTTCAGTCCTCTCCAACTCTTTGTGACCCCATTTGGGATCTTCTTGACAAAGATACTGGAGTGCTTTGCCATGTCCTTTCCCAGCTCATTTTACAGTTGAAGAAACTAAGGCAGATATGGTTAAGTGACTTGCCCAGGGTCACACAGCTAGTATCTGGGGCCAGATTCTAGGCCCAGCGTTCTATCTACTACGCCACTTAGCTACCCCTAATTATGATGATAACTTTCCTAATATTGAACCAGCCCTGAATTCCTAGTAGAACTCCAACCTGGTCATATTGTATAATCTTTGTGATATTCTGTTATAATCTCCTTGCAGGTATTTTATTTAAATTTTTTGTATCAGTATTCATTAGAGATATTGGTCTATAGTTTTCTTTCTCTGTTTTTTCTTTCCCTGGTTTAGGTATCAAAATCATATTTGTGTCGTAGAAGGAATTTGGTAGAACTCCTTTACCTTTTTTTTTTTCCAAACAGTTTACATAATTTTGGGATGAATTAGTCTTTAAATGTTTGAAGAATTTACTTTTAAATCTATTGATCCTGGAATTTTTGTCTTAGGGAGATCATTTAATGGGTTGTTCAATTTCTTTTTCAAAGACAGAATTATTAGGGGCAGCACTGGCTCTGGTGTCAGGAGGACCTGAGTTCAAATATGGTCTCAGACACTAACTAGCCGTGTGACCCTGAGCAAGTCACTTAATCCCAATTACCTCCAAAAAAAGTTACTTAAGTATTCTATTTCTTCTGTTACTCTGGGTAGCTTATGTTTTTGTAAATGTACATCCACTTCATTTAGATTGTCCTTTTTCTCGGCTTATAACTAGACAAGGTAGTTCCTAATTGCTTTAATTTATCTTCATTGGTGGTGCATTTACCCTTTTCATTTTTGAGACGAATAATTTTGTTTCCTTCTTTCTTTTTTCAAATTGGCCAGTGGTTTGTCAATTTTGTTGTGTTTTTTTCCCCATAAAACCAGCTCCTAGTTTTATTTATTATGGGACAGATAGATGGCTCAGTGGATAGAGCACCAGGCCTGGAATCAGGAGGACCTGAATTCACATCTGGCCTCAAACACTTGCTGTGTGACCACGGACAAGTAACTTAACTCTATTTGCCTCAGTTTCCTTATTCATGAAATGAGCTGGAGAAGGAAATGGCAAACCATTCGAGTATCTTTGCCAAGAAAAGAACAACATTTTATTTACTAGTTCAATGATTTTTATTTACTTACAATTTTATTAATCTCTCCTTTGATTTTCAGGATTTCCATTAATTGGGGATTTTAAATTTGTTCTTTTCCTAGTTTTTTAGTTGCATAGTTCACTGATCTGCTCTTTCTCTATTTTATTTTTTTTAACTATTTATTTATTTATTTTTAGCTTTCAACATTCACATCCATAAGATTTTGAGTTTTAAATTTTCTCCCCCTCCCAAGATGGCATGCAATCTGATATAGGTTCTCCTTATATATTCATATGAAGCGTATTTTCACATTAGTCATGTTGTAAAGAAGAATTAGAACCAATGGGAGGAACCATGAGAAAGAAAAAACAAACAAAAAAGAAGAAAAAAGAGAGAAAGCAAATAGTGTGCTTCGATCTGCATTCAGACTCCATAGTTCTTTCTTGGGAGGTGGATAGCATCTTCCATCGTGAGTCTTTTGGAGTGCTCTAAGATCCTTGAATTGCTGAGAAGAGCCAAGCCTGTCAAAGTCAGTCATTGCACAGTGTGGCTGTTAACTGTGTTAGATCTTTTCCTGGTTCTGCTCATTTCACTCTGCATCAATTCATTCAGGTCTTTCCAGGTTTTTCTGAAGTCTTCCTGCTCATCATTTCTTATAGCACAATAGTATTCCAGTACATTCATACACCACAACTTGTTCAAGTATTCTCTCAATTTCCAATTCTTTGCCACAACAAAAAGAGCTGCTATAAATATTTTTGTACATGTGGGTCCTTTTTCCATTTGTATGATCTCTTTGGGATACAGCCCTAGAAGTGGTATTGCTGGGTCAAAAGGATATGCACAATTCCCTTTGGGCATAGTTCCAAATTGCTCTCCAAAATGGTTGGATCAGTTCACAACTCCACCAACAATGCCTAAGTGTTGCAGTTTTTCCACATCTTCTCCAACATTTATCATTGTCCTGTTTTGTCTTGTTGGCCAATCTGATAGGTATGAGGTAGTATTTCAGAGTCATTTTGATTTGCATTTCTCTAATCAGCAGTGATTTGGAACATTTTTTCATATGACTATAGATAGCTTTAATTTCTTTATCTGAAAACTGCCTGTTTATATCCTTTGACCATTTATCAATTGGGGAATAACTTGTGTTTTTATAAATTTGACTCAGTTCTCTATATATTTTAGAAATGAGGCCTTTATCAGAGACATTGGCTGTAAAAATTGTTTCCCAGCTTTCTGCTTCCCTTCTGGTCTTGGTTGCATTAGCTTTGTTTGTGCAAAAACTTTTCAATTTAATGTAATCAAAGTCATCCAGTTTGCATTTCACGATGTTCTCTATCTCTTGTTTGGTCATAAATTCTTCTGTTTTCCATAAATCTGACAGGTAAACTATTCCTTGCTCTCCTAGTTTGCTTATAGTATCTGTCTTTATATCAGATCATGTACTCATTTTGACTTTATCTTGGTATAGGGTGTAAGATGTTGGTCTGTACCTAGTTTCTGCCGTACTCTTCTCCAGTTTTCCCAGCATTTTTGTCAAATAGTGAGTTCTTATCCCAGAAGTTGGAGTCTTTGGATTTATCGAATAGTAGATTACTGTAGTCATTGACTGTTGTGTCTTGCATATCTAACCTGTTCCACTGATCCACCATTCTGTTTCTTAGCCTGTACCAACTAGTTTTTTGTTTTTGTTTTTGGGCAATGGGGGTTAAGTGACTTGCCCAGGATCACACAGCTAGTAAGTCCTCCTGAATCCAGGGCTGGTGCTCTATCCACTGCGCCACCTAGCTGCCCCCCCCCCCCCCCCCCAGTACCAAGTAGTTTTGATGGTTGCTGCTTTATAGTACAATTTAAGATTTGGTATAGCTAGGCCACCTTCCCTTGCATTTCTTTTCATTAGTTCCCTTGATATTCTGCACCTTTTGTTCTTCCAGATGAATTTTGTTATTTTTTCTATCTCTATAAAATATTTTTTGGTAGTTTGATTGGTATGGCACTGAATAAGTAAATTAATTTAGGTAGAATTGTCATTTTTATTATATTAGCTCAACCTACCCATGAGCAACTGATATTTTTCCAATTATTTAGATCTGACTCTATTGTGTGAAAAGTGTTTTGTAATTGTGTTCATATAGTTCCTGAGTTTGTTTTGGCAGGTAGACTCCCAAATATTTTATAGTGTCTACAGTAACTTTAAATGGAATTTCTCTTTCTCTCTCTTGCTTGTGGGCATTGTTAGTAATATATAGAAATGCCGATGATTTACGTGGGCTTGTTTTATATCCTGCAACTTTGCTAAATTTGTTTATTACTTCAAGTAATTTTTTGCTTGATTCTCTAGGATTCACTAAGTATACCATCATATCATCTGCAAAGAGTGATAGCTTTGTTTCTTCTTTGCCTATTCTAATACCTTCAATTTTTTTCTTCTCTTATTGCTAAAGCTAACATTTCTAGTACCATATTGAACAGCAGTAGTGATGGTGGACATCCTTGTTTCACCCCGATCTTATTGGAAATGCTTCTAGCTTATCCCCATTATATATAATGCTTACGGATGGTTTTAGATTCTTTCTCTATTTTATTGATGTAAGCACTTAGAGATATAAATTTGTCCTTGTACTGTTTTGGCGGCATCCCACAAATTTTGTCATGTCATCTCATTGTTGTCAGTATTAATGAAATTATTGATTGTTTCTATGATTTGTTCTCTGATCTATTCATTCCTTAGGATTAGATTATTTCGTTTCCAATTAATTAGTTTTTAATCTCCGCTTCCAAGGTTCTTTATTGAATATAATTTTTATTTCACAAAGGGTTCATTTAGGATTTCAGCTTTTCTGTATTTGTTTGTGAGGTTTTTAAGGCCCTAATAAATGGTCAGTTTTTGTGAACGTGGCACGTGTCATTCTCAAGATCATCAGGACATATCGGACTCCCTCCGTGGCGCCTGATGACGTTAGGATTCATATGCGTCAAACGTCATCCGTTTGTCCTTGCTTAGTCTGCTGTCATTGCTCATTCATGTGGGCCTTTTTATGTTTCTCTTGACTCTTGTGTTTGAGCTTCAGAGTTTTCCCATAGCGCTGAGCATTTCATCAGGAATGCTTGGAAGTCCTCTGTTTCCTTAAAGGTCCACGTCCCCCCATAGCATTATACTTGATTTTGCTGAGTTCATTCTTCTCGGCTTTTCTTCACATTCTTTGCCTTCTGGAGTACCCTGCTCCACGTTCTCTGCTCCTTCATAGTAGTGGCTGTGAAGTCCCACATGGTCCTGCTGTGGCTCCTTGGGACTTGAATTCTCTATTTCTGGCTGTGTGCAATATTTTTCTTTGACCAGGAAACTCTGGATTTTGGCTGTAATGTTCCTAGGAGTTTTCATTTGGAGATTTTTTTTTTTTAGGAGGTGACCAGTGGATTTTATCTCTACTTTGCCCTCTAGATCTGGGCATTTTTTTTTTCAGTCCTTTGACTTTGTTCTGGTATTTCTCGTTGCCTCAGGGTTCGCTGGTTTCTATTTGGTCCATTTCTGATTTTCAAGGAGTTTGTTGCCTGGGCAAGGTTTTGTATCTCTTGATTCCCTTTCCAGTTTTTTCTTCCATAGCTCTCGTTTCTTTTCTGCTTTTTTTCTGATTTCATTTATAAAAGCATTTTTAAACTTTTTTTCTCTCTTGCATCTTTCTGAGGCAGTACCGTTGAATGTGTTTTTCACATTCTGAAGCTTGCTTGCTTGCTCTCCCAGTCTTCTGGTCTACTTTCCAACTTCAGACTTGATGTTCAGCCTGGTCTCTGGGGCATTTCTGGAGCCAGGATCTGAGCCAGTCCTGCTCTAATATCAACATGTTGACTCTTGTGTTATTCCAAGTCTCACGGACAGGCTGGAGACCTGCCAGTTTTTGGTGCAGTCACCGCGGGGGTCTCATCTAGGGCAGAGCTCTGCAGAACAGGCTGATGGTGGACACTCCCTGTCGGCCGCCGGAAACCTCTGCTGATTCAGAGCAGCAGAAATGTAGGCTTCTGTTTGATCTGACGCTCCTCCTTGGCTCGTCCTCTGCAGGCCGGGCCACGTGCTCTGGGCTTCTGCTGCTGGCTCCTAAACTTGGTCCTTTCTCCACTCACCACCCTACCCAGGGAGGCTGCTGCCACACCCAGTCTCTCTACCTGGGACTGAGTACTGTGTGACAAAGATCCCAGGTTGCACCTGTCACCATTGCAGTATTCCTATATGGGTCTGTGGGTGCCCCAGGAGGGGTCTAGGACACCTTGCTTTGGTGCACAACTTCTCCCCGGATACCAGAGTGCTCAGGGTGCCTGCTCTTGACCCTGACACTTTCCCTAGCATCCGCAGAGTTCCCTTCTGTCTCCCTGTGCCGACCTGGACTGGACAAATGACCCCAGGACCTTTTCTGGATTGTCCCATTAGGATTTGGTCTGGTGCATTTTCTAGGACTGTTGGAGGAGTTTTGTGGGCAGTAGTGAGCCGTATTGCTTCCTGCCACTCTGCCATCTTGGCTGCACCCAGGAGCTCAGTTTTGGACAAGTTAAATTGAGGATATCTGTAGTTGATCCAACCTGAGATGTCCATTAGGCAGTTGGAGATTCGAGACAAAGGACAGGAGAAAGCTCAGAGCTGAGGGAGTGGATCTGAGAATCCTCAGCATAGAATGACAATGGAATCCAGAGACTGATGGGGTTACAAGTGAAACTGTAGAGAGAAGACAAGAAGAGGAGCCAGGACAGAGCTCTGTGGGACCCCAGGCTGTTGGGCATGACCCGGGTGAAGATCCAGCAAAGGAAGTGGAGGAGGGATGGTCTGACTAGTCGGAGGAGGAGCAGGAGAGTCCAGAGAAAAGGGGATCGGGAAGAAGAGTTGATGGACAGTGTCAAAGGCTGCAGAGAGGCCATATTGCTGCTCACTTTGGAGAGAGAGGTTTAGGTTGAATGATAAGGTTGGAAGCCAGAGTGTAGAGAGTGTAGATAGTGAGAGGAAAGAAAATGGAGACACAATGTAGGTGGCCTTGTCAGGAGTCTAGCCCTGAACAGGAGAAGTGATGTGGAAGTGATGTAGGGCATTAGCTGCAGGGAAGAAAGGAGCAAGTGGGGTTTTTGAGGATGGGAGACACGTGGAGCTGATTGTAATCACAGTAGGGAGGCTTCCAGTAGACAGGGAGAGATTAAAGACTAATGAGGGGGAAGATGGGGGCGGGGCAGTATTCTGGAGAAGACAGGATGGAAGGTAGAGGGCTTGGCCTTGGCGAGAAGGGCCGCCTCGTCATTTGAGACTAGAGTGAAGGAGGACATGGTGGGGGGACACATCTGGGTGGTATGAGACAGGGAGCAAAGGTTCTCAGCTGGGAAAGGTGGGGGAGGAGGAGCCACAGGAGGATTGGGAAATGATGTCAGGGTTTGTAAAAGGTGTCTGGGGTGGTTGGCGTGGTGAGTCAGGGAGCCTTGACTCAGTGAGAGCCCAAGAGAGATGATGAAACGTAAATTTGTGTGGACCCAGTCAGCTTAGTGTTGTGGTTTTCTCCATGGGCCGGGCCCAGGGGTATCTCGTGACCGTTCTCTGTGTCTTCCCCAGCCCACCCCTCCACCACCTCCTGTGCCGCCCACCAAGCAGCAGTACCTGTGCCAACCCCTCCTGGATGCGGTTCTTGCCAACATCCGTTCCCCGGTCTTCAACCATTCCCTGTACCGCACGTTTGTGCCAGCCATGGAGGCCATCCACGGCCCTCCCATCACGTATGTACTGGGGAGGCCTGGGGACCCCATCTGAGTCCTGGACCTTGTGTTGGGGGCAGGGCGGGGTGGGGCTGGGTTGGCCTGCACCGTCCCCCGGGCACCTTCTCCCCACCTTCTCCCAGCCAGCAATTGCAATGAATTTCCCTCAGAGCTCCAGTTATCTCCCCTCGGAAACGTAAATATGAGGATGATGAAAAACAGACGATCCCAAACGTGTTACAAGGAGAAGTGGCCCGACTGAATCCAAAATTCTTGGTGAACCTGAACCCCTCCCATTGCAGTAACAACGGCACTGTGCATCTCATCTGTAAGCTGGGTGAGTCCTCCCCCGGCCCTCTGGGTGTTCTCCTGTAGGAAGAGGAGAAAGTGGACGAGGAGGAGGCGGCAGCAGACATGGGCGGTGGGGTCAGTCTCGAGTAGAAACGGGCTGCTGATCTCTGTTTTAAAATGTAACGTTACTTGTGTCTTATTGCATATTTTTTTGGTTATGTATTTCCCGTTTACATTGAGCCATCAGTCAGCACCCCCACGTTGGGTCTGCTCCTGTGTCGGAGGGACCTGTGTAACCTCCTGGCGCACTTGGCTCTTAGACTTCTCATGCGAAGCCACAGGGGCTGACCCCGCTGCCTAATGGCTCCCAGATGTGGGACAGGAGGCCCTTGGCGCCTGCCGGCCCCCGGGGCAGGGCAGCTCTGGCGGGCGAGGAGCAGGGCCCCAGTCTAAGGGTCTACGCCAGGCTCCTGAAGCCACAGCTCGGCTCTTCTCCTTCCATTGCTGGCCTCATGCGAGACAGAACTCCACATCCCGGGGGAGCCTGTCAGAAAGGGGCATGGCAGTTGGGTGGGAGGGCTCATTTCAGGTGGGCCTCCCAGGGCCCCTTCCAGCTCTGGAGTCTCCAATTGGATGTGCTGTCCAAGCGGCTTTATTTTGGTAGCTTTGTGTTCAGGCTGCCGCTTCCCCACGGAGATGGAAGAATGGGAGGGTTGCCTCGATGTCTTTTTTTAAATCATAGATTTTTTTTACATCACCTTGATTTCCTTCTGAATCCCCCCCCACGTTCTCTCCCAGAAAGCCATCTCTTAGAACACATTTTTTTTTATGAAACAAAAGGGAAAAAATGCCATAAAACCAATCAGCACGTCCAAAACACATCTGATATTGTATGTGGTGTGGACCCCTGCCCCCTTGCAATGAAACAAAGGGAAGCATCTTCTGGTAGCTCTTCTTGGGGGATAAGTTACAGCTGAACTGTCTCTGTGGGGGAGAGGCAAAGGCCCTGGAGAGAGGGACCCCTCAGACAGCCCGCCTTGGGCCAGGAGGCAGTGTGGGAAACCAGCCCCGGCTCAGCCCTGTTGGCGACTAGCCAGCGTCTTGTGTTGTGTGTAGATGACAAGAACCTCCCCAGTGTCCCGCCGCTGGAGCTCAGTGTTCCTGCAGACTACCCAGCCCAGAGCCCTCTGTGGATAGACAAGCACTGGCAGTACGGTAAGTCCATCTCCTGAAGCTCCTGGGGGCAGGCCAGGGAAGGAGCCTGGGGCTGGGGCTGGGGCTGGGGCCTTCGGGGCCTGCTTAGCACAGGGCATCAGGGGTGACGGCATCGCTGCTGTCTGCTGTCTGCCGTCCTCCTTGGGCTCAGCAGGAGTGAGGAGCAGATTCCTGGGGCTGAGAGGTGGGTGCGAGGAGCTTTGTGGTCTGTTTATGCTTCTTCAGCACTGGTGCTGTGGGAAGAGGAATCTCGAGGAAGGGAAAAGGGGCAATCTCCTGCCTTGGACAGCTTGACCGGGCCGGGGCTCTCAACCCCTTGGGGGGCCACAGACAGATTGGAAAATAAATGGATGGGAAATCAATTGCATTTGTTTTTTCTAACTAGAATTTAGCATCTCCTTTGATTATGAAATTGTTAAAAACATTCCGAGGAGGAGTTGATAGGCCTCACTGGATGACCAGAGTGATTCATGGCACAAAGTGGCTAATGAGCCCCACCTTCGTGAGACGAGATGTGCCCACTCGACCAGCCAGACAACAGGGCCAGACTGCTGTTGGCTCACGCGGTCTTTTCTGCCTGGAGTCAGTAGACCTTAGCGTCAGTCCTCTCTGAGGTCCTCCTCTCTTGACATCCCATGATCTCCAGGGGGTGTAATCAAGTGATGCCTCGGGTCAGAGGATGAGATCAGTGGGGGCTGTAGCAGTCAGGGAAGACTTCTTGGGGGAGGTGCTTCTTAGAGACCGGAGAATCAGAGATGGTCAGGGCTAGAAGGGACCTTGGGGAGCTTCTGGGCCAAGCCCCCTCATTTGGCAGACCTGGAGACTGCCAGAGAGGGAAGGGGAGTTCCTTGGTCACAGTCACCTCCAGGGAGGGTCTTGCTTGGCTCGGTCTGGATCTCAGGGGGAGGCTGTGAGCTCAGGCTTTGGAGGGGGATGTGGATGGACTCAGAGGACCCGAGGGTAGGTGGTGAGCAAGCCAGGATGTCTGCTGGGCGTTGGCATTCACCGCTGGGTGGAGAGATGCTGCAGGGCCTAGACAGCCAGGGACAGAGTCGGCTTTTGAGCTGGTAACCTGTGCAGGACAACTGGAGAGGAGTGCGGGGTCAGACCTGCGCCATTAAGATGGTCCTGTCTAGGGGAGAGTCAGGGGGAGAGCTGAGAGAAGTCACAGACGGAGAACCTCCCGCGGGGTGACTGAGGGCACGTGACAACTGGAAAGGAGCTGGGGGGCTCACAGGAAGCTACAGGGCTGGTCCCGAGGGACAGCCTGGAGCTGGCAGCCCCCTCCTCCTTTGTCCTCACTGCCCGCATGAGGTCGGCCCTTCCCCTTTGTTTCCTTTCCAGAAGCCAACCCATTCCTTCAGTCTGTGCACCAGTACATGACTTCCAAGCTGCTTCAGCTCCCCGACAAGCACTCGGTCACTGCTCTCCTCAACACATGGGCGCAGAGTATCCGGCAGGCCTGCCTCTCGGCCGCATAGTCCCCTCCCCTCCAGCCGGGCCAAACCTCAGCAAGAGGAGCCTCGTGGCGGGGGTAGCCAGGTGGGGCTCACCGGAGAGCCGGCCGGTAGATATGGCTTCCCCTCCTCCCCTCCTTCCAGCTTGGTACCACTCGCCTGGCATCGCGGCTCATTTCTGCAGGCTGTGTGATTGTTTGTGGACGGCCGTCTTACGGAGGGCCTTGGCCGGTCCCCTTGTAGACCCCAGCCCAGAAGGCACTCACTCCTCCAGGGAGACGGGCTCCACCTTGTCCCCTGATGGTTTCTTCTCAGCCTGCCCGCCGCTCTCCCCCTGCTGAGCCCCAACATCCTCTCTGGCTTCCACATCCCTGCGCTCGGGCCGGATGGCTCTTCTCCCACTCTGGATTCCGGATCCACGTGGCCGCAGCAGAGGAAGCTTCTCTTTTTGTTTAATTCTTTTCTGAGTCGTCGCATGGAGGCAGCTCCACAGGCGGCTTTGGAAGGCTCCTCTGAGTGCAGCCTCTTTCCTTGGCCTGATTGGCGTGCTTCCTGCCCCTCCCCTCCCCGCGAGGCCGGGCACCCCGACTCCCCCTCTCCCGGGCCCTGTCGTGAGGCCTCGTGGTGGCTGTCCTGCAGAGTCAGAGGCGGCCACCTTCTGCTTATTTTTTGGAAAGCCAGCTTCAAGTGCATCTGTGACTCTTCATTCGCTCCTGGGGTTGTCACTGGCTTCCCCCCGGATGCAGAGCAGAGCACAGGCCTGGGAACACGAGACATGGAGAGATGGGAGCCCGGCTTCTCAGCCAGGGAAGAATCGGCTCCCTTCCCCTCAACTGAGATTTAGGATCCGGGCGCTGGCTCCTGCCTGAAGAGTTCCTTCCATGGCCTCCCGCGAGGCTGCCATGTTGGCTCTTTGGCAGCCCCTGTGGTAGAGTGGGGTCGGGGCACACTGACTGAGAGGGGAGGGGCAGCATTTTGTACACACACTTACTCATTATTTGTGGTTCTTTGGATTATTATAATAAATTTATTCCTGTGTTTGACACGAAGTGATTTTTACTCGTTTTTGACACACCCATGCATCAGAATCGTGGCTGCCCCATCCCTTAGCTCACAGGATGGTCACTCTCTGATTTCATAAAGTTGTTAATGCCCAAATACAAGCAACTCATTTGTTGCCCTGTAGTCCATAAACGATGGAGTGGGAAAAAGCCTCTGCCACCAACTTTGCATCGGACCATGGGAAGGTCAGCCGCCGCTTCATTTTTACAAATGAGGGGCTCGGCCTGGATGATCTCATATGTCTAGAGTGGTCACTGGAAAACTGAACTGACCGCATGCTTTCCAAAATAACACAAAGGGCATGGACGTCCTCATCACCATCTTGTGATTCGCCAGCGCCTTCCCTCATGGTTGGTCCAGCTCATATCTCCATCGATGGCGGGTGCATCAGCAGGCCTCCGACATTGACCATTCCCACCCCCCGCCATCTCTGCCAGTTCTCCGAGTGTGGGGGGGGGGCTGGGGGATTTGGGTTACCTTTTTCTTTTTTTTTCAGTTGTTTATTTTTAGTTTTCAGCATTCACTTCCATAAGCTTTTGAGTTCCAAATTTTCTCCCTCTTCCTCCCCTCCCTCCTCCCCAAGATGGCGTGCAATCTGATATAGGCTCTACTTATACATTCAGCTTAAAACATATTTTCACGTCAGTTATGTTGTAAAGAAGAATTGGAACCAGTGGGAGGAACCATGAGAAAGAAGAAACAAAACAAAACAGAAGAAGAAAGAGCCAACAGTCTGCTTTGATCTGCATTCCAACTCCGTGGTTCTTTCGCTGGATGTGGACAGCATTTCCCATCACGAGGCCTTTGGAGATGTCTTAGATCCTTGCATTGCTGAGAAGGGCTGAGTCTATCAAAGTCAGTCATTGCACAACACGGCTGTTACTGTGCACAATAGTTACCTTTTTCTTATTGGTGACTTGGAGTATTTCTTCCTGTGGTTTTATAAGAAAGCGTATGGAGATAGGGGAACAATGCCCCCCCCCCACTTTGAGACTAATTTCACGTGACTCCCTCCCACTGACTCTTGTATCCCCGCCAGACTGGCTGCTCAGAGACTGCTTCTTTCTGAGCCTGGGCTGCTCTTTGCTGACTCATCCCAAGTCCCCTTCCTCCATGAGGCTTTTCTAGATTCCCCCAGGGAGCTCACTTTTGTATTGGCATGTTTGGACCACCCAAGTGGTTTTCTCCCCATCTATTATAAGCTCCTCACAGGAAGGGGCTGTTTCCCTCTGGTCTTTGTATCAGTGTATCCTGACAGTTGGGGCAGCTAGCGCCAGGCCTGGAGTCAGAAGAGTCATCTTCATGAGTTCAAATCTGGCCTCAGACAGTGACTAGCTGGGTGACCCTGGGCAAGTCACTTAGCCCTGTTGGCCTCAGTTTCCTCATCTATAAAATGAGCTAGAGAAGGAAACGGCAAGCCACTCTAGTATCTTTGCCCAGAAAACCCCAAATGGGATCACAAAGAGTCGGACATGACAAAAACAAAACAACACCGTGGCACAGTGCCTCATGTCTAGACATTTGTCCAACTAAATTCGTCCCTCAGAAACATAATCGTCCAGTTCAGAGAGAGGAAGGGGAAAAAGCAAAAGGAAGACCCTCTTTGTTAAGAGGTAGTTTGTGTGGTCAGGAAGAGCAAGGTCAAGGTGGAAGAATGCCAAGGAATAGCCTCCAGACACCGCCTCTTGGAAGAAAGGTGCCACCCAAGCCTAGGCTCAGAACCACTGGGGATGGGCAGGAACCCCGGGGCCTGGACTGCCCTCCGTGGGCTCCCCGGGCCTGCTCGTCAGTTGGGCCTGGTAAAACCTCATGACTCTGTAGAGCGGGGTGAGGGGTTTAAGAAGAGGCTTAGGGAGGCTCTCCTGACAGGTTCAGTTGGGTCAGGGTTCCTTAGCGCAGCCAAAAGCTGCTCCCCAAAAATCAGGAGCTGCGGAAGAAGTCTAGCAGACCAGAGCCACTGGCCAGAGTTGCCCCATATTTAAGAATGGCTCTGATGGAGCATCCCCCTGCCCGAGCAGCCATCGCCTCATGCCCTCCTCAGGCTGGAATGACAGGCTGGATCTGTGGCCAAGTTGCACCCCAGACCTGTCGAGCTTGCCTGGACCATGACAGGGGCTTTGAAAAATGTTTTTGATGCCACCCTCTGGTTTTATACCGGCCAAATGAAAGAGTGACCTATGGCCCACCTTCACACTGTCGTATAGACGGGAGCTCTATGGGTGGACTTGGGGGCACAGCTCCTAACAGTCAGCAGGGCCACAAAGCAGACTCGGCAACAGAATGGGAGGGTTACCTGGACCTGGGGATGCCAGAGTCCATGGAGGTAGCAGGGGCACCCCCCAAAACTTAAGACCAATTCATGAAGTGACTTACGAAGGAACACAACACAAGGAATGTAGATAAAGGAGATTTAACTCAACAATCTCTAGCTGGTAGGGAAAAAGTAATTTCCTAATTCATTTTTGTGTTAGCGTGTGTTTTGGGGAGAATGGCAGCGGTCAGACTCATGAGGCCAAGAAGGAAGCATTGACACCATCTCACTGAAGAGAACCTGAAGGTCAGAGGTCAAGGTGAGAAGCGCTGCCCATGTGACCTGGCCTTGGAAGGCATCTGCTCCGGCTGCTGCCCCGACGTGCTCGTGCTCCCACTCCCCGGCCCCCGGCCCCCGTCCACACCAGCCTGGTGCCGGCTACAGGACCATGCGGTGGAGACGGCGGCTCTGGATAGCCTGCATTCTCTTCTGTCTCTCAGCAAAGCTGTTTGTCAAGGTCTGCTTCAGGGCGGGCAAGACTGCTCTCTCTGCCTCAGGTATCGGAGCCAGGATCAAACTGGATGAGGAGGAGAGAACAGAATCGCGTCACCGGGATGGTCGGTCCGTCTGCTTCAGTGAGGCCAGAGCCGGCAGTGGGCACCCCTACCTGACCCGCCCCTGCCTCACTGAGGGGCCGGCGTGAGAGTGAGCTGTCTTGGTGGTGCCACCGGGGAATCGGGCCCATGAATGGACGAGGAGAGATGGGACCAGCTGTGCCTGGCTTTCTCATGGAAGAGGTGGAGGCCTCAGCAAGGCCTGAGCCAGAGTATCTCTGTGCTCCATAAGCCAGTTACTTACCATTTTTTGGCTGCACTCTTATCAGCAACTTTGGGAAACTGCACACCTTCCTGATGCCTGAGTGAAGAAAATGTTTGCCCTAAGAGAGATTTGGGGCAAGCTGGGCATGTGAGCAGTGCTGACCCCAACGGGCCTGGGCAGAGCCCCCAGGCACACCTGCACCTCGTGCCTACATCGCCATAACAGCCCACAAGAGTCAGTGCCTGACTCCCCCCGACGCAGGTGGCCTGGTGCTTGTCTGACAGTAAGCCGGGGAAGAGCTGCGTTCCATCCACAGGGAATATCTTTACCACAAAGGGCTTGGTTTCCCATTCTGTGTGTCCTGTACCCACACATTTGATATGTATGCTTGGGGCTCTTTCTGGGCTTCTATCCTGTGAGGCTCCATCCCCAGGAGAAGGATCCTATCTTTGTGACCTTTGGAGAGGGAAGATTCCCTACCCCACCCCTCCAAAAGTGAGGCAGAAGTGGGGATGCATCCCCTGATGCAGCCCCGCTCCACTCCTGCCGCTTCGAGGGTACATTGAGAACCCATGGGCCAGGTCGTTGCTGGCCTGCCTTTCAACCCCCTGTACCTGGCACAGGGCCCTGCAGAGAACACACACTGATGGGTATTATTTTTTTCTCCCAATGCCCTCCTTTTGAGAAAAGACAAAAAAGAAAGCAGGTTATGTCCAGTTCAGAGCAGGCCCTCGGCCAGCAGGGCCCCGCCCCTCCTCTGCCGGGCCACTTACTTGGAATGGTTGGCTGGAGGGCCTTCGGCTGCCTGTCGGGTGCTGTCTTCCAGGACGGACTTCAGGTGTTGCAGCTGAAGGACATGGACAGAAAGGCCACTGAGGGCATGCTCTGCAAGGTCATGCCCTTGCCGGGTGCCCGGGCATTGCTGTCTCACATGGCCAGCAGGGCGGGGGCTCACCTCTTGTGCCTGCAGGTGGTTGGCATTCCACAGCTGCCGAATGACCAGCTCACACTGCTGAACGGTGGACAGCTTCCGCATGTGTGGGGGTAGCTTCAGCGAGGACGTGATCCCCAGGATGTGTTTGAGCTGGGGCTGGCAGGACATTACGGGGATCAGCATGGAAGGTGACGCTTCCATGTCTTCTGCTCTAAAACACACCAACCAACCAAGGGCATGTTTCCATTTGGTGCAGGCAGCACATCCTCTCAGACAAGCAATTCCCGGGGGCATCGGAGGGTCTCCATGTGCCAGGAAAGCCAAATGCTGAAGGCAGAAACGCAAGCGCCTCCCCTTTGTAGACCTCTCCAGATTCTCCCGTCTAGAGCCTGAGAGTACATCCCCCATTCGACTGGGAGCTCCTTGTGGGCAGGCACTGCCTTTTACCTTTCTCTGTGTCCCCAGTGCTTGGCACAGTGCCTGGCACAAAGGAGGCACTCAGTAAATGCTTATGGACCGAGGAGAAATCTGGGAGAATTTGAGAAAAGGTTAAGGAAAAGACCTCAATCTTATTTTATAAATTATTTGTTCTCTCTCTTTATGGCAAAACTCCTGGAAAAGACCTTCTACACTAGTGGCCTCTTCATGTATCTCCTTTCCTTTAACCCCTTACAGTCTGGCTTCCAAACTCCTCATTTCACTGAAGCTGCTCTCTCCAAAGTGACCCGAGGATCTCTTAGACTTGCCAAATCCAGTGGCCTTTTCTTCATCCTCCTCCTCCTCAGCCTCTCTCCAGCCTTGGACATTGTCCATCACTCTCTCCTCCCTAAGTGTTCTCCTGGTTTTCCTTCCCCCTCTGACCTTGGCTCCTTCTGGGTCTACTTTGCTGGACCCTCCTCCAGATCATGGCCTCTAACCACAGATGTCCCTCAGGACCCTGTCCTTCTTTTCTCCCTCTGTTCTGGTGATCTCCTCAGCACCCTTGGACTTAATTACCATCTCTATGCTGATGACCGTCACAGCTTATCCTGCTCCAATCTCTGCTGACCTTTAATCTTGCTTCTCAGATATCTCAAACAGGATGTCCAGGAGATGTCTTGCAGTCACTCAGCTATGTCGAAAACTGAGCTCACTGTCTTTCCCCCAACCCTCCTTCTTCCTACCTTCCCTATTACTATGGAGAGCATCTCCCAGCCCCTCAGGCTCACAGTCCAGGAGTCATCCCAGACTCTCTCATTCCCCAAACATCCAATATGGTGCCAAGATCTCTCAGTTTCCCCGCTGTGGCATCTCTCCAATACATGCCCCTCTCTCCTCCGACACTGCCCCCACCCTGGTACCCTCATCACCTCACACCTGAACTGTTGCAGTACCTGCTAGGGTGGGGGTGGGGGTCTGCCTGCCTCGTCTCAGCCCTTCCAATCCATCCTCCATTTAGCCACCAAAGTGATTTCCCTAAAGCGTAGGGCTGACCATGTCACCCCGCTCCATAAACTGCTGTGCCTCCCTACTGTCTCTCTTCATAAGCTGCCCCCTTCCACCTCTCCGGTCTTCTTACACCTCATTCCCCAACATGTACTCTTTGATCCAATCCCCCAAGACCCTCCATCTCTTAGGTCCAGGCATTCTCTCTGGCCATCCCCCTAGCCTGGACTGCTCTCCCTCCTCTGCTCCGACCACTGACCCACCTGGCTTCCTCTAAGTCCCAGCTAAAATCCTGCCTTCTACACGAAGCTTTCCCCAACCCCTCATAATTCTAGTGTCTTCCCTCTTAATTCTCTCCTGTCTTGTCTAGAGCTTGTTTCTTCACGTGTCTGTTGTCATCTCTATATCCCCAGCACTTTGCGCAATTCCTGGTCCGTGGTAGGTGTTAAATGTTTATTGATGGATGGATCTTAAGGAGGAAAAGGATTGAGGAGAAAGATCGAAAGAGGAGGTCATTCCCCAGTTGATAAATGGTCAAAGGATATGAACAGGCAGTTCTCAGATGAAGAAATTAAAGCCGTTTATAGTAATAAAATCACTACTGATTAGAGAAATGCAAATCAAAACAACTCTGAGGTATCACACCCATCAGATTGGCCAACATGACAAAACAGGAAAATGATAAATGTTGGAGAAAATGTGGGAAAATTGGAACACTAATGTATTGTTGGTGGAGTTGTGAAATGATCCAACCATTCTGAAGAGCAATTTGGAACTATGCCCAAAGGGCTATAAAAACATGCATACCCTCTGACCCAGCAATAGCACTTCTAGGGCTGAATCCCAGAGAGATCACACAAATGGGGAAAGGATCCACATGTACAAAAATATTTCTAGGGGCAGCTAGGTGGCACAGTGGATAGAGCACCAGCCCTGAAGTCAGGAGGACCTGAATTCAAATTCGGCCTCAGACCAACACTTGACACTAGCTGTGTGACCCTGGGCAAGTCACTTAACCCCCAATTGCCTAAAAACTTAAAAAAAAAATATTTCTAGTAGCTTTCTCCGTGGTGGCAAAGAATAGGAAATTGAGGGGATGCCCATCAGTTGGGGACTGGTTGAACAAATTGTGGTAATATGAATGTAATGGAATACTATTGTACTATAAGAAATGATGAATAGGCTGACTTCAGAAAAACCTGGAAAGACTTGTATGGTCTGATGCAGAGTGAAATGAGCAGAACCAGGAGAACGTTATACACAGTAACAGCCACTTTGCGCATGACTAACTTTGATAGACTTAGCTCTTCTCTGCAATACAAGGATCTAAGACATCTCCAAAGGCCTCGTGACGGAAAATGCCGTTCACATCTGGAGAAAGAACCGTGGAGTCTGAATGCAGATCAAAGCATACTATTTCTTCTTCTATTGTGTTTTGTTTCCTCTTTCTGGTGGTTCCTCCTATTGGTTCTAATTCTTACAACATCACTAATGTGAAAATACGTTTAATGGGAATGTATATGTATATAGCCTATATCAGATGGCGTGCTGTCTTGGGGAGGGAGGTGGGGAGGGAAGGGGAGAAAAATGTAAAACTCAAAAGCTTATGGAAGTGATTGCTGATAATTCAAAATAAATTAATTTAATTAAAAAAAAAAGAAAAGAAAGAGGAGGATTGGAGAAAGTAGTTGGTAAGGCACGGTGGGTAGGAAAAGGTTAAGTAAATTTGTAAAAACAAAGTAAGAGGCTAGTGAAAAGAAACTACGTGTAGTGCAAGTTGATAGGGGTAATAGTATATTGTATAAAGGTATCTAAAAAAGGCACCTGAGCAAGACTTTTGTAAAACCCCCAAGTAGCCTCGAAGCTAAGGACTGAGGCACCCCCGTACGGACAGCTGGGAAGCGCTGAGGCAGCGACCAGCCCCGAGTGTGAGGGGCCTCTGCTCTCCTGACACTGCCAAGACACTGCTCTTTGCTTCTCCCTCATGGGAGGGAGGCTGAAGGAATGAATGCGTCGATCCATCAATTGATCCTAGGGTCTGGAGAGGCAGAAGGGAAGGAGATCCCATGGAGAAGGAAGGGAAGAAATCACTGCATACCTGGAGGTGAGAACCCAGCATCAGGCTTCTCCTCAAGAGGACAGCAAAGGATGCTGAGGCAGAAGGAGCCGTTTGTGGTCCAAGGCCCCCCGGGGTGGGCGGGGGGGGCAGGGAGCACACATGTCTAAAAGGCCTAACGGACTTTTATCAAAACAGAACCACCCGTGGGCACAAATTGTGCTGCCGGGAGATTCCTGGCCAAGACCGCACACAGCCTCGTGGCACTGGGTCTTCCTCCCCGTGGTCCCCCAAAGGCCAGAGAGGCACCAGAGAAGGCTGCGTCCGAGAATGGGATTCAGGTTTTTGGACCATGCTTAAGATACGGGAATGGAGGGAGAGAACGCACCTGATAAAGGGAAGAGGGTCAGAGGGCATGGAGTCTAAAACGCTCGAGTCTGTCCACCGAGGAAGAGACCATAGACAGAAGCTACAGCAGCTGAGAGGCACAGAAGTTCACAGGAGAGGAAACTCAATAAGGAAGCCGGTAGTAAAACCTCATAAAGTTCAGGTGGTAGGCAAGACTAACACAGCTAGCGTCTGTGTAGCACCAGGTGCCAGGCCTTGTGCTAAGCGCTTTACAAATACTGTCTTAATGGATCCTCACAACCACCCTGGGAGGCAGATGCTGTGATATCCCCATTTATCGCTGAGTAAACTTCGGAAAACGGAGGTTAAGTGACCTGCCCAGGGTCACAAAGCTCTTAACTGTCTGCGGCTGGATCTGAACTGAGGTCTTCCTGACTCCAGTCCCCATACTCTGTGTACATAAGGAGGCACCGTTTACTTTCAAGGGTAAACTGAGATACGGTGGCACAGACCCATGGCTAAGATATGGCCCTGGATAGGTAAACTATTCAGAAGAACCAGATGGGTAAAAGTGTGGGAGTAGGGTGGGCTAGCATTGTATATTAGGAAGGTGTAATCACGTAAGGAAATCCTAAAAAACCTCTAGGTGAGCATCAGTGGAAGCAGGAGAGCGTGATCATCGGATCACCAAGAAAACAAAGGAGGTAAAGAACCAGACCCCAGCCTGGGCCCCTGGGCTGACCACCATGGCGACTCGAGCCGTCTCATCCTCTACAAAATGTCTCTCCCTCTACCCAAGGAGAGCAGCTCTTAACTTCCTGACTGGCCTTGATGATAACTTTGTCCTTCAGGAGATGGGAAAACTAAAACAAATTCTATTCTGGATCTGATTCTCGGCAATGAAAAAACCGATAGGTGAGGCGAAAATGATGGGAGCCCGGGGGGGAGAGTACACCTTCCCTCCTCTCGTCTGACATGAGCCCCAGATGTGGGGTTTAGAGGTCAGAGGGAGAGATGCGGGATCTCAGGGACTAAAATCTCAACAGGCGACGTCAGCAGAGGAAGGGTGAGAAACTTAATAAAATTCTGATGACCGAGGGACGATTCCATTGTGGAGGAAAATGGCAATGTCTGAAGAGGCCCTTGTCCGCTAGCTTTGATTTTTGTTTTTCAAAGTACATTGGGAGAGGAGAGATCCAGAAGGCTGGTGCAGTCCTACAAGAAGAGCCCGGAGTGTCAAAGGCCAGAACGAAGGGGGCTAACGCGAGTCTTTGATCGAGGAAGGCTTTGTTTCTTTTTGGCAAAATGTTAGGGAAGAGTAGAAGATGAAGGAAGGGTCACGGTTGGCTTGGCCTGGCTGGACAGAGTGGTGCTGTCAGCAGAGAGAAAGCAGCTGCCACTCCGTCCCAATGCCGCCTCAGTGTCTCTGCTGAGATGCCCAGACGGCCAAGAGCAAGCATGAAAGAGCAGCTCGCCGTCCTGATGAATTCAGTCCCCTGGATCAGGGCTGGAAAAAAACAACCAATGTCACCTTTGAGCCACCGCCAGCATCTGACGCAGGCAAACATCACTCTCGTGACGTCGGAAAGATCATGGAAGACGGGAAGAGATCCTACAGGAGGGATTGGAGAAGAGCAAAGAAAGGAAGAGGACAGTGTGCCAGCTACAAGCTGGCGACCACGACTTTGGCTGATGCCAAAACGATTAAAGGGATGGTCAGTGACCATGGAGAAGAGGGAGCGGCGCTCCCACAGGGCCAGTGGGGCTGCCTTGGAACCAAGGAATTCCAGACCAGCCTCATGTCCTTTCTGAACAGTTGTAACACCGGTAGGTCAGGGCATGTTGTAGAGAGAAGGCTACCTCGTGCTCATCTCATGGAAGAGATGGGACAGATGTGGGCTAAACAGCAGGACGGCTGGACAGACACAACTTAAGAAAGGTTGGGTGCTAGTGGTTCAATGTCGATTGATCTTGAAAAACCCACAGGGGAGGCCCCAGGGAACTGTATGTGGGGCTGGGCTGCTTGGCTTCCCCCTCTGTGACTGGGAATGAAGAAGGCAGAGCCAGTATGTCCTCATCCAGTCCACGAGCAGCGCAAAGCTGGAAAGAACAGCCAACTCATGGATGACCGCCAGGATCCAACGAGATCCATAGGTGAGGACACAGGAAATTTACAGGCGTAAATGCAATGTCTTACAGTTGCGCTCAAAAAAATCAACTTCACCAATAGAAGATGGGGAGAGAAGGGTTAGGCCGCATTTAGGGGAAAAAAAATTTTAGCAAATAGCCAACAGCTAAAGAGACCATGAGCTGCGGTCAAAGAAATGGCCAGCCAGCCCTCTGCTCTGCCCAGAACGCTTGGCTAAGGGAGACACTGTCCCAAGGAGGCCTGAGGACGGCGAAAGATCTGGAATCCACATCAGATAATGATTGATGAAAGCAGCTGGGCTGGGGCAGGGGGCAGCGTGGGAGCTGTCTGCAAGCCCGCTAAAGGACCACAGCCAAGGGGCAATGGAGGCTTCGCGTCAGAGAGCTAGGCCAGAGGGCACTGTGTGGTCAGGATTCTTTTTTTCAGATACGGGTTTTACAGAGGCTGCCAAGGCTCCTTCTGACTCTGAGATTCTGGGATCTCTGTCTTTCCCAAGGACGCTGTTTCAATCTGGGTTTTCTGACTCCAGACCTAAGAGGACTTTCCAACCAATCCCTGAACAGAAGGAGGGGGCTCTACGTTCATGCTAGGGCTGGGCCCGTGGCCAGGAGGGTTGCGGCTCTGTGGGCCTCAACTCTCTGCCATAGGAACACAAGCCTGGGCACTCACCTGGCCAAGTCCCTCATCTGACAGGAAAGCCCTTGAGGCCTAAGGAGGTGAAGGGATCTGCCTGAGGTCACGCAGCGGCTGACGACGGGGTGGGACCAGACCCTTCCTCCGGCTCTGCCCAACCCCAGGGCTGGCAGGATGCCGCGTGCCTTCGCTCTCTCTCACGGCTCCTGGTGCGCGAGGCCATCCAGGTAACTATCGTGGCCCAGGGTGCCTCTGGCTGGACCTTACAGCTAGAAGCCAAGGGCCACAGCTTTGGGCCAGTCTTCAGGACAAGCTGGCCTCCTCAGCCCCCAGGAGCCCTGAGTGGGCAGAATGTGTCTGTGAACAAAGGTCCCCTCCGTGCCCTGCCTAAGAGATGTTACACCAGCCACAGGCTCCTCTGAATAAGCTTCCCTTTCAATGTGAGAAACACTGGGGAGGGTCGAAGACACCTCAGCTCCTGTTCCTGGGGGGCAGGGGGGTTTAGAAAAAAAACTGAGCTCAGATGAAGTGAGCAAGGTTGTTCTGGTCAGGGTCCAACTCTGTTTCCCACTCCCCTCCAATCGGGCTTAGCCAGAGCCTACCCGGCTGGGCCTTTCTCCATCCTGATGCTGGGGCCCTGCTTCTCTTCTCCAGACTCCCCCACCTCGTGTCTCTTTGGGCAGCAAAATGAGTGTTTGGCTTTGGACGATGAGCAACCTGAAGTCCAAACATGGAGCGAGAGATCAGGTGTTGGGGCATTTGTTTAGAAGCCGTCTGGAGTACCTGACACTGGATCCGGGCGTGTTCTCAGCCCCCCCAGACCAGACCAGGGCTGGAACACTTGTCTGAAAACTTGCTGGTTGTGCACCAAAGACTTCAGAGCGAGAAGGGCCTGGACCTGCCCTTTGAGGTCATCCAGTCCCACCCCTCCTGCTGCTGCCCTAGACGGGGCAAGTGTGGGTATGCCAACTTCCGGGTGACAGCAGATTCAAATGAGGGGAACTGCCCTGGTCTGGCAGCCAGCAGTCAGCCAGGGTTCAAATGTGGCTAACACTTTACTTCACGACCTTAGGCGAGTGCCTCCCCTCTCTGTGACATGAGGAGGCTTGACGAGCCCTGTGTGCGGGGCTGACAGCTGCCTTCTGGCTTTGCTCTGCTGGTGGAGCTGAGCCTCCAAGGGGTGCATCCAGCCCTTCCCTGAGACAGGTTCCCTCTTCTGCCTGCCTGCAGGACTCAGGGGCAAGCACGGTCACAGGTGGGCCAGGGCTGCGCCACTCCCTCCACTCTACAGCCCAGCTAGCAAACCCTCCACTTTTCTTTGGTTCTCACCTGACGGGCACCACACCGGAGCTGGACTTGAGAAAATGGGAGCTGGAAGAGGTCACACCTACAAGAAAACATCCAGGAGTTAATGCCCAGCGTGAAAGAGATGGCCTGGCGGCACCGTGGAGAAAGGATTCGGGCCTAGAGTCGGAGAAACCTGAGTTCAAACATTTAACTGCATGACCTGGGCAAGTCACTCCATGCTTCCCTCTGTTTGCCTCAGTTTCCTCAAATGTAAAATGGGCATGATAATAGCATCTCCTTCACTGGGTTGTTGTGAGGATCACATTTGTAAGCAGCTCAACACAGTGCCTGGCACGCAGTAGGCAGTACATAAATGTTTATTCCCCCCCCCCCCCCCCCCTTCCCCCCTTCCAGAGACACCGACGAGGCCCCAGGACAGAGAATCAAAATGCCTGAGATTGAGTCCCAAACTCTGCCACTGATTTACAGTGAGATCTTGCACAAGTCACTCCACTCTGGGCCTCAGTTTCTTTTCTGTAAAATGAAAGAGGTCAAACTAGAGGGCTGAGCTACTGGATAGTTTCAAGCTCTGACATTCTGTGATTTGCCAAAAAAGCCAGCTCTCAGATGGCTCTAACAGCGGCCTCTCCCAGCTCACTCGTATGACCCTGTAGAATCTTGTTGAGGTCAGGTGGACCTGAGTTCAAATCCAGCCTCAGACATTTGCCAGCTATGTAACTCTGGGTAAGTCACTTGACCTCTGCCTCAGTTTCTTCATCTGTAAAATGAGGCTAGTAATAGCACCTATTTCCCAGGGTTGCTGTGAGGATCAAATGAGATGATACATGGGAAAGCACTTATAAACTTTACAATGCCCTATAAAGGTTATTACTAATGATTATTACTGGTTTCTCTGAGTTGTCCTTTCCCCCATAAAGTCATTCTCAAACTGATTCAAAAATTTCATAATGTGAAGGTTCTTTGGAGAGCCTGTACCTGAGCAGAAGTCCCCACTAGAACTGCAGGGCCTTAGCGGGCAT